GAAGCGAATGGATGGATGGATGACTATTTTATAAATAGGACAAGCTAGAGGCAGCCTAGTCTCCAGGCCGATGGAAACCATTTAAACATGTAACCAGGTTATTTAACTGTGTAGAACTTTTATCCATCGTTTGCCACTAACATACAAAACTAAACGGTGTCTTACTCATCTGCTTCAGTGACACTAACCCATCATCAGATTTTTTTCTCTCATGAAACATGTTTATTTGACAACAGTATTTGCAGATTTTCTTTTTTTTGCCAGTGTTCAGTCATCTTAATGGGCCGAAACATTGGCCTCTCATTGTTCATTTAGCATTCATGTTGTTATTTTCAGGTAAACTGCCTCTCTCCCCTGTTGCCTTTACTAGAGTTGCACTGATTGGCTGCTTGACTTAAAAGATTTACAACCCCTAGACTGAGAAATTAAATTGGATCAAATAAGCATTGATTCAAGCACAAACGGATTGGCATTTTATTGTTTTGTCTGTTTTATATGTTATAAGTAAAATTAAAATTGAATACATTTGTTGAGAGGTTTGCTTGAGCTACTGATTAAAATCAAAAATATTTGGTTTACTCTTCATACTGAGGAAGAAATAATAAAACTTAGTATAAACATTTGTTTATGTATTAATTGATCAATCAGTCTTTGCTTTTATGTGATTAACTGTCATTAATTAAGATATCATTACAATAGAAGAGCATCTAATGACTGGTTATGTTATGTTTGCACTAACTTTTTGTAAAAGTATTATTAATTACTAATATTTATCCATAATTTAGATGAGCATATACTCTAAATCAAGTAATTCAGATGCAGTACAGTAAGATAAACAATGGAGAATGTTAATAAACCTTATTGGGTTAATTTCCATTGTTGTACTTCTGCTCTACATATTAAAACAGTTGAATCAGTGGCTGTATTTGTTGCCCTGCTCATTACATTACATTCAGCAATACTGGTAGTTTTAGTGTTGAATGTTGGAAAATAGTAAATGTTTGTACAGTTTTCTAGAGCCAAAGCACAGACCTTCAGATTTCTAGATAACAGTTTTAATTAGTTAAATAAAAAATTTATTTTATTGAGCCAAGAACCTAATCCGTAAGCTCTCAAATGGAATAAATTCAGTATCAGAGAAATCACCAGGCTTCCCATTCAGATTATAAACCACATATTACAAATGATAATGTAATATAAGATCTCCCACATGGTCACACTGGGGAAAACTGGTCGGAGACGTGCAATGACCCAAATTATTGCAGCTGTGTGCAGTGAACTTGCAGTCTTGTTGACCTCCTGGAAAGAGATTTGCAAAGACACTAGTTGGACTCATCAGTGCAAACTTACTTTGCTTGATTGCGATGGGTTGGCAAGCAGTCTGCATTTATAAACTAGATGACAGTAATTTGCAAACCTTTGCTAATCTGCTTGAAAGCAACTGCAGTCCGTTTGAGTCGGATCACAGTTGTTTGGAGACCAGTTCTCCTACAGATGAGCTGTGCAGTTGGCTTGTGACTGTAATTGTCCCAACTGCTTGCAGCTGGTTCAATGCAATCACTAAGCAACTACGAATATTTTTGTAGTCAAATTTTCAGTCCTGTTTTTTCATACTAGTGTGACTGAGCCACAATTATTACCTTGTTGTTGTTGTAAAAAAAATTCAAAACCGAAAAGGGAAAAAATGCAACTGTCACATAGATAAAACTAAAACAGCTAAACTGTTATGGGTGGAGATGAGGTTTATCTATAAAATTAAAGAAGCTAAATTATATTACACTATGAATTAAGTACAAAATTATAAACTGTAACCTTTGTGCTAAAGAATCAGTCATAAAAATATTCATCAAAATATCTTAATTTGGATTTTATTTGATTGCAAATGTGCTTCCAAAATTGCAGACCCACCAATCTGATATGGTCTAAATCCCATCGGTGCACCTCCAGTCGGCGCTTAGCTGCTGCGTTTCATGTTCTCATGTCTCATGATTTTGTTTTTGTCTTGTCCATTATTTGTGTTCGTCTCACTTTGACTGTGCACCAATGATTGCTCGACTCCGTTACACCTAAACTAGCTGTACGTCCTTGGAAAGCGTGAACTCTCAGGCTCCGCAGCCTCGAAAGAAGGTGGAGTCCAGAGTGGAGGGCTCCAGATCTACCAGTCCCTCGGGTCCGCTACAGGTATGAGTTGGGGGACGAAGGGAAGGAGCAAAAAACCAGTGGCTGCCTCTGTTTTACTGGAAGGTGGTGACATTTATGTGGACAACGTATCCAAATACAACTGAAAATAATTTTTTATCCATCTGTAATATTTAGTTCTGATTTTATTTCGTACGTAATCTTATTTTCAGTTGTTTCCATTCATGTTTTTTATTGTTTGGCCAAAAAAACCAACCTAAAAAAGGGGGAAATATTAAGAAGAAATGAATAAGAAAAAAATAAATAAAAAAATAATAATGGATTGGATTTATATAGCGCTTTTCGGGACCCTCAAAGCGCTTTACAATACCACTATTCATTCACTCTCACATTTACACACTGGTGGAGGCAGCTACAGTTGTAGCCACAGCTGCCCTGGGGCAGACTGACAGAAGTGAGGCTGCCATATCGCGCCATCGGCCCTTCTGGCCAACACCAGTAGGCGGTAGGTGAAGTGTCTTGCCCAAGGACACAACGGCCGAGACTGTCCGAGCCGGGGCTCGAACCGGCAACCTTCCGATTACAAGACGAACTCCCAACTCTTGAGCCACGATCGCCCCAAATGCTATTGTTAGTTTACTTTTTTAGACATCATGAACAGTTATTTATCAGGTGTGGCATTTCTTGTGTTTAGCTAATAGACTGAAAATTTCTGATGTGTTCTCCCTTTACTGATATTTCTCAGATTTACCAGCTGAATAATTGATCTGTTTTAGCAAATCAAACAGTCAACTCACCCTGAGAAATCTTTAGTGGGCTGTCTTAATACAACAGAGAGCAGAACTAATCTTCAAACTTGCGAGTGAATTTTGCTTGAAATGAAACAAAACAACAAATTGGATTTGATTTCTAAAGTGTGAGTGAAAGGCGGCAGAATAATTTAACAAAAACTGAAAAATGTAGATAAAATGGAAAAGTTATTTACAGACTATAGAGCCCCCACCCAGTGGTCACAGTGAGAATTTATTTATTTATTTTTAATCTTAGGACAGATTTTGACTATTTATTATTTTTAGTGAAGTGTTTCCTCTGAATAATACATGAAGGCGGAAATTTTTTTTTAAATTTCTGCTATATTTAAATGTGAAATCATCAAAATCACTTATCCATGATAATAAGTAATATTAGAAAAATCAGTGTCAAGCACAACTTTTACATTCGTCTTAAGGCCAGCATGTCATCGGTTTTATCCTGATCAACCAACCAACACTCAACAATTTTAGGTTTACTGTCCAAAAAAAAAAATCGTATTTTCTCAGTAATAGTTATGTTTGTTATTATTATTTTTTCTTTTTCTTTTAAAAAGAAGACTAGACTATCCCATACAGACACAGGACTGCTGTTCAGTTTTCAAGTCTCTTAAAGCGTGGGGTGTTTTTGGTTCTGTTTTGGGGGGTTTTCCCTTTAAATTGATGTTTTGATAACTTTTGCTCTACTTTGCAGTACTTTTTTAACCCTCACAATAACGTTTGCATTTCCTGTGACCCGTGCAGAGCCGTTTTTATGATACAGTATCGTGTATTGTTCAGCACACGTTCCCAACTTGCGGCTGCGCAAAGCACCGGTCTGCACCATTTATATTTAGAAAGAGAAACAGAGGAGCTGGTTCACCAGCTTTCTCACTGAGAGACGCTGTCACTGTAATTATGACTGCACCCACGGGATGACACAGCTGTCTCTGCGGCTGTAGTCACGGCTGTCACACTCTCACTACACTGTACTGTATAGTCTGCGTGCATTGATGATCCTGTGGCAGTCCTGCACTTTTGTGGTGTATTGGTCACGCTTCTCTTTAGGAAGCTCCCAAGGCTCAAAATCTCAATCACGGCAAGTCTGAACGATTACCACGGCCAGCTGTAGCTTGTCCCTTAAAATCATCTTAAATGCAGTAAGATGAGATAAAATATTCAGCATCTGTCCCAGAAGTTTGGAAACTATTGTATCACAGCTAAAGCCTATCAACCGAATACAAGTATCAAAACATGAGGTGCTAAAGAGTCTTCCTGTCTTTGTGAGACACATGTTAAATACTTGTATATCGAGTGACACTCCATATTTTGGCAGCGTAATGTTACTATTATCACTATTACTGAATTTAACCAGTGCCAAAGCTGTTAATAGGAGTGGGAAGGAAATGTGGAAAAAACTAATGTAAGCCACTTTTCAGAGACCCTGTAATTGCTAAGTAATTATCCAAATACGGACTAATTATCTAAGCCTTTTTATCTGTGTGTGTGTTGCCCTTACATCTTCACAGCTAAGCACTAATTAAGTCAAACTATAAGAAACTGTTGTCTCCCAATCAGAAGCTCCACTTACAAAAACAAACAAACAAAAAAAACCACCTAGGTTTCTAACTTTGGGCTTCTTTAATCACCCATGTGCGTAAAGTGATATAAAGGTTGCCGTTTATTATTTGCTTCTTTCTGTATCTACTTGTGTCATTGGCTGACTGTGTTTCTTTCCTGCTCTGCATCTCATTTGTCCTCCAGGGCCCGGTGATATACGCCCAGTTGGATCACTCAGGCAGCAAAAACTCCTTCCATAAGATGGAGCCCGTGGTCTATGCTGACATTCGTAAAAACTGAAGAGGAACCGGGGACCAAATAAAGAAAAAAAAGTAAACAAAAATCCAGTAAAATATGAGACCTCTCTATCAGCTGCTCTTGGGAAGGGTGGGGATATCTCAACAGGGACACAAGTGGTGCAGTTTCTCTCTCTCTCTCTCTCTCTCTCTCTCTCTCTCTATTTCTCTCTCTTTAAAATTTTGTCCTCTGAAAGCATGATGATATTATACGATAAAGTAATGTCTCCATGTGCTTTGTTGTAAAAACAAAAGAAAAAAAAAGCTATGAAAACACTCCAAGTCGATGTTCCACCACTCCGTTACATCAAAACTGTTCTCCAAAAAAAACCAGGGGCACACATAAAAACGAGAAAGCCTTCGGTTATCATTCCAAGTATTATTTGTTTGTTTTGTTTTTGTTCTTCTAGCTTTGTGCCCCTCGTCCCCCATTAAAGGTTTAGCAGGCTGTTGCACCAACTCAACAGTCCTACTTAAGATGCTCACACCTGAACCGAGTGAGCCCCGTTTAATAAAACGAAGCGAAACAAAAAACATTGGTGCGTTAAACTGTTTCTTCCAGAGAGAAGATGACGTTATGAAGCAGATATTTGAACGATACTCTCACTGTTTGTCTTACATCGCCTTATTGATCATGTTCATTGATCACTTCTGCCGAAACTTTGGTGCTTTTTATTGGCCGGTGAGACTGGTCTGAAACTGTACAAACAGCAACATCAGTAAAGATCAAAGAAAATCTACCAACGTCAAAACCTCAAGTTACATCTTTTTGTTAGAAACAGCAGACTGTAGTCGTCACAAAGTCGCACCTGTGCTCTCGTCTGATCCAAACTGTGCCGCATTTAGATCAATGTAAAGAGATGTAGTGTGGTCCAATGTGTGCTCACAGTGTTAAAAGTCCCATTAATGAGCCGGGCAGACGCTCCACCTTTTTATCCTCCTTTGTTTACGGGCTTCTGATCTCTGCGCGTCTCTGTCATCCTGAAAACCCGATTGGTTCATCAACAAGTCAGAGTTCAGACTGCGCAAGTTTTGCCTGTTCTGATGGGTCACTGTGTCACATTACATGATTATAGAGTCATAAAATCTTTCTACACCTGAGACGATGATGGCACTGAGAAGGAGGTGCTTGTAATTTCCAGGAAAAGAAAAAAGGAAACACGTGGAGTCAACTGAAGTGGTGTGTATAACACACTATGACTCACTCCTTCAGATAAAATTTAATTTCTGTTCACAGAGAACAGCTTGTGCAGTGCTTTTGGACAAATTTCATACTTTTTTAAACTCCCGTCTAAACGAGGAAAGAACCCCTACATTCAGTGATCACTGGAATATTAAAAAGAACGTAATTTGTAGAATTAAAGCACAAAAAAAAATTTGCATCTTTACAAAATGTGAAACTTAAAGCTGCTCAGTCCTGATAGCTAACACAATGATCATACCAGAGGAACAAAAAAGAAAGTACATGTCTCCCAGCATAGTGCTGGTAATACACAGCGTCAGATTTTGTCAGTTATGCCACACTGCATGAGATAAAATGACCAAAGTTTGTGCAATGTGTCATCTCAGATTAGAAAGTAATTAGGGGTAATATGTGTTGTCTGAACTCAAACCCAGTCAAATGAAAAAGGAAAAACACTACTTTGAGTAAAAGGATTAAATCTTTAACAGCAGAAAATTAACTTCTGACTGAAACGGCAACATTTTTTTCTCCTGGTGGAAGTTTAGACGTACTGTGAGTGAGCGGTGACCCTTAAAGCGGACTCGACCTGTACTGTAACTTCTGTCTGTCTGCCTTCATATCTCATCGACTTCGCTAACAGCTGGTGCAACAGTCTGCCGAAGCCACGGCTCCCTCTCCATCGTCTGGCTTTTCCATAGTGATGTTGTTCTGTAGAGGCGAGTGATGTAGATTTTTTTTTTGTTGTTGTTGTTGTTTTGTTTTTTACACCGCCTTCTGTAACTTTGCATGCAGATATAATGACATCTAAAGAATAACTTTGGTACTGCTCGGCTGATTTATTTAATTTTTAAGAGCAGAAGCAGCCGTCTGACGTTGGTGTTACTGTGAATGCTTCACTTCTCTGTAAACTCCCGGCATGTCGTTGTGGTACCGGTAAAGACGCCGCATTTAGATTTTCACCTCAGTGGAAAATTCCGTACGTTTAAGTTTCAGTTGCTGTCACTTATTTTTATTTTTCATTGTCCCAGTTGTGTACAGATAAACACATGGACAATGCAACCCAGGTAGATTTATGTGATTTCTTTGTTTTTATTAAAGAGCCATGGGCAGTTTATTTCTTTATGTTGAAATATGCATGTTAGGTTCAATTGAGGTGAAAGATCTCCTTCCTATGAAAACTGGGAGATGTTATTTTGTGGAACAATACACAGATTTGCATGCAATTTACTAACATAACACGCATTATTATGAGACTATCCGTCCTCTTTTTCTTATTTATGCATAATATAAAGCTCTTTGTTTGTCAAACTAATGGGCCAAATATCTAATGCCAACACTTTCCGATTTCAGATGCTTTAAATACATTCCAAAACTTTTGTTTTCTTCCAAAAAGCCAAATTTATGTTGTAATTTCTTTGGTTTTTGTTAACGCGAATATTTGTGTTGCCATCTTGATTCCTTCAGCTTCGTCTTGTGATTCCAAATGCAGTAAAACTCCATGCTGACCAGTGTTTGTATATATTTCTTGCTCCTCGTGTAAGATATAGTGCTGTTATACTGTAACTCATTCCAGTGTGGTATGGCTGTGGATGTCTTTCCTGAGAATGGAAGCGGTTTGCTCGAGAAAGTTGGTGGCATGCTTTGTTTTTCTTACTTAAGTCTTAATTATTTGTCACCAGACACTCTGACATGTGCATAGAGCGCCTGCAAGAAGTGTCGCAACACCAGCCGGTTTAAAGGGCTCCGGCTTAAGTTTCTTCAGCCAACAGTCTGAGCAGAAAACACTAATAAATGTGGCTTGATTAAAAAAGCCTTTAAGTCCATGTTTGTTTGGTGCAGAGGTATCCTGCAGAATAATTTGGGTAGGCTTCACATTTTCTCTTAAAGCCTAAATCCTTCAAGCCTCCTTTAGATGTTGAGATCCAGAGGAATTATTCAAGTACGATACTTTTCATTTTATACTGATGAAGGGTCTGTATCTCCTTTATCTGTCTTTTTGCAAAGCCAGAAATTTATCAGCAAGGCTGTAAAGCTCATCAAACGCCTGAAACTAAAATGTGTAACTGGAACCCAACTTTATTGACCGGCTGCGGCCAGTAAATAAAGTTGATTTATTGGAAATGGAGAGGAAATGTTTCCTGTCAGTGTAACCGTCATTTAATCAGGGTAAAGGCGGCGCTTTGATGTAGAAAATAAGAGGCTCTGCAGAAACGTGGACCTGCGAGGAAGGCTGCCAGTACTGACGATGATTAATCACATAGAACCTGACTTGTAAAAATTTATATTCCCCAACTGGTTGGAGAGTGGTTGCCAGGTGCTGCACCACAGCTGATTGCTTTGGTTGCTATTAGATTGCATGGAAGACACCAACTTGCCTGTAATGCTCACTAAGTATTAGTGCAACTGGTGTTTGGTCTTCAAAGTAAAAGTTGTGCTTTACTTTTGAAAAGTAAGGCACAACTTTTACTTTGAAGGTGAGCCTTCTCCGTTTCCAGTTTCCGTTGCGCTCGTCAGCTTCTGCACCACTTGGCGCGTACTTGACGAGCATGTGGAGACAGTTTGGTGTTTTCTGTGCAGGCTACCGTTGACCACAGCAACCTGTGAGGTTTTTGGTGCAGCAACCATGTGGCTTTCTGCCACCACCCACAGCCAATGAACAGCCAGTTGGAGATTACCTATTTTTCCCTATTGACCAGCGATTACCAGGGGGTTACTGACCGGTTGTCGGCTTGTCTGCCCTTTGGAATGTGATAAATAATTTTAAAAGGCTGTTGAAAATGTACATGCTGTAATTGTGTGGACTGGATTTAACTTCATCTGTTAGATTTGTGACTAATTGTGATTGTTTTCTTTGACTTTTTAAAACTAGTGAAGTAGTCTGGTTAGTTACCGGGGAAACCCCCGGGTAAAAACAGCCTAACGCAGGCCGACATCCAAGCCTGTCTTTTCAGGACAGATTTGACAACTGTGGTGAAAGAGGGTTTCCACAAGGAAGGAAGTGTTTGTTAGACCTCTTCAGATGTTTCCGTGTCTGCGCTGACACATAAAAGGGAAATTACTCACACGTTTTGTATATTTATCCCAAATTTGTGAAATCCTCTGACACAGCAGTAAAACTTAATGGGTCATAACCAACTTCAGGCTGAAGAAATCCAGGCTTTGCCCGCTTTGACCCGACTGTGGTTGTGACATCACAGCCCACAAGCACCGCGATGTCTTCCATCTTTTCCTCTCTGTTTCCTTTTTTTTTGTTTTTGGGTTGTGTTTTAAAAACACTCTTGTTTGCAGCATGCATTTCAAACCAAAACGAAACATCCGTGTACAAACCGTCAGCTGCTGGTCGCTTTGCTCCTAATTGTGACTCGTTGCAGTGTTTAGTGCCGTTGTAGAAATCGTGATGTAAACTATAAATTATGAAAGATTTCCGATGTGACGGAGCTCGCGCGGTGGCGGCGTTTGGTGTTCTGATTGGACGCGGGTCTTAAAGTGCGTGCTCGGTGTTTATCGATGGTAAATAGTTGTGTGTTATTTGAGAATCGTTTGGTATGTTATGTTGTAAAATCTGCACTATGTCTGGCATAACAAAGACAACAAAATGCCCTGTGATTATTATTATTATTGTTATTTTCATTCGTCTCTGAATGACTTTGGCCTCTTTTTGTTTACCGTCTTTAAAACTGGAATGTTGTACATTTAGTGCCTTTTACATTTCATCAGCTAACTTGAACATCTGCTCAAAATAGAAATAAGATTCATTTATTTTCCTTTTATTGTATGTATTTTTTTATACACATAATATCACCTCTGTATCCACTGTTCAAATTTTATATAAAACTTATTCCTGGCCAACTATCCATGTGTTTCTGTTTATTATTATATTATACTCACAAAACTGTCAGATTTCTCTTCCATTACTTTTTTTCCCCATGAATATTATGTATGTTGGTTAATTTTAAACTACTGTGTGTAAATATTGTGCAAAAGTCTTGAGCCACCCCTCATTTCTTTGTTTTGCTTCCATGAAGCCGGACTTTAATATTTTTAAACTGGTCTTGAGCAATAGTTCACATACCTATGTGAATTTCTTTGGACATTCAGTCCAGTCCTTGCACCTGACCATTTTCACAGGAATGTTTTTTGTTTTTAAGCCACTTAAAACTAATCCGAGTCAGTCAAACATATAAGAAGGCGCCGAACCCAAAGGATGAAATTGTGTTGTCAACACGTAGCTTATCAGCCTGATTTGATCCCATTTCTTTAGCAGAATGTATAAAATGTGCCAAAGATAAGAGTAAGAGAGCCATAACATTGTATTTTGGCACCAACAAGATGATTCTCAATAAGCTATTGAATAAAACCTTGGCATATCTTAGGACAAAGTAATGTCCCAAGTAATGCAACCTTAAAAATTTGAGGAAGTTGATCCATCTACTGTTCACTGACGCCTCATCAGTAATTCTCTCAGTGGAAGGCTGGCTGTCAACAAAGGCTGAGGTATGGCCCATGTTGGGCCCATTACACAAGAACTGGACTGAAAATCAATAACAGGCTTGATGGGGTCATGAATGTAAATTAGTTTTTTGGTTGAAATTGCAAAAGAATACAGAGGAGGTCAGAAGAGAGGTATCACAGTGAGTGCCTACAGTAGAAGCTGGCATATATTGGCTATATACTGATACATTAGATTAAATGAGAATTTAAAAACTGAAGAAGAGACGTGAGAAGCGTCTTTAACCACATTATGAGTGTTGATTTTGCAGTTTGCCCACCAGAGGGCGCTCTGCAACTGTACTGTTGGCAGCGCTTCATAGAGATCAGGCAACCAAAACCTAAAGAACAGCTTTGAATGCCCTTCAGGAAGCCTGGAAACTATTCCTGAAGACTACTTAAAGACATTACAATAAAGCTTGCCTGAAAGAGTTCAGGCTGTGCTGAAGAATAAAGGCTCATACAACTTTAGAGCTGTACAAACTCTGTTTTTGTCTTGTATACTGTTTTTCTATGTGTCACAAAATTACAGCACATTCCTAAAACATAAAGGAGGGGTATCTCAAGACTTCTGCACAGTACTATACAAAGTTTAATGCTTTTACAATGGACAGAGCCTCCAGGTCTGTGCTCTGTTGTGGTGATGGACCTGATGGTCCACTTCCCAGGAGATGGTCTGGTTCCAGAACCAGAACTTATTCCATGAAAAAGCAGGAAACGTGAGGGTGCTGCTGAACAAGGAACAGCGAGTGTCTCAGTGTAAATCTGACAGATGCAGAAGCAGTTGATGGGACATAAAAGAGAAAAACTAATTTCTACCTCTGGTGTGTGTGAGATACATCAGACTATTTTCTGCCTTTAAGTTGCCAATCTTTAGTTTTATTTTGTGTACCAACAAGAAAAGGGGTCACATTTTTATAATTACTTATGACGTTGGTATCCAAGAACCAAGATAATTTAAATGTAAACTTTTTGCTTTCTCTGAGCAAATAAACAGAGGTGGAAAAGTCTGATCTTCTACTTCAAGTCACAAATTCAAAACTAAATGTTGATCTGAATATATGGCTATTACATAGTACTTTATTATATTTCTAGAGAAAAATGCGTTAAAATTTCACTGTTTAAGTCTAGTTTACACCGTGTTTTGTTTATTACAGCTTTGGCTGTGAGGTAGTTTTATGCGCATAGTCAAATTTTCACATAGGTGTGCTTTCTTTCCATGACCAGCAGGAGGCAGAGTGGTCCTTCCCTTACCTTCAGGTACACCTTACCTGAGCCGTCCATAATCTTAGCTTTTCTTAAGCACCCTCCACCTGCAGGAATAACATCCCTCTGATCTCACTGTTTTTCCAGGAAACAAATACCTGAGAGATAAAGGGGGGAAAAAACCACCCCACACACCCGCGAGTAATGGCGACCTTTTTTTTTTTTTTATGAAATGGAAACAAAAAGTCCGGGAATCCCGGTGAATATGTAAGGGGACAATCCCCCAGGGAGATCTGTGACACACACACTCACATTGTGTATTTGTGTGTAAACATGACACCTGATAAAACATGGCAAAGAGTGAAAGGATAGTTAATCTGAAACTTAACCTGCACATGAACAGCAGACAGCAGACCAGGTAAGGCTCCTTCTTACGTGACACCTGTTTGCTAACGCGCGCCTGTGTTCGCGCAGCTTTACGCTGTTTTTAAAAACTCACGGTTAAGACGATAAAACTTGTGCATTAGTATAGATCAGCTGTTATCCGCGTGAAGCATCGAAAACAGCAGGAGCTCGGCAGCTTTTCATATTTGCGTCCACCAAATTCAGAGATGGAGATCATAGTTTTCGCCAAATACGACGAGTTTTTCTTCTTCGACGCTTTAAAGCGGCTGCTGTCACCACATGTGCCGTTACAGTAGGAGATGCTTTTATTAAACAGGCTTCAGATCCTTCTTTCTACTTTTGGTTCAGGGTGATGTCCTAAACCCTCAAACCTGTTTGTGAGGGGCAGCCAATCAGAAGAAAGCTGGCTGAGGGGTCAGATGCACTGTGAATCATGCAAAGCTACTGTCTTGGAGCCCCTTAGTGGAAAGGCTGAGTCTGAATATGAGTGCAATGAGTCCACTTTAAGTGATTTATTTGCCCATATCATCTCTGTAGGGCAAATGTATGTATAATATACATGTTTGAATGCAGAACATTAACCTGATGCACCATTTCACCCTGTGGTTTTGTAAATATTTCTAAATAAGTGTTCGTAGTTATGAATAAATCAGAGTCCAACTGCCAGAGAGGTGATATGCTAAAAATCAAATTAAACAAGGAGGAGTGTTTGTGTATTTTCACACTGTAGATTTACTCCAAAAAGCCACTTTTACACTTTCACTGACTCTACATTTTACACATAAATATATATTTATATACAGTAAACCTCTAAACCGCAGATCTAACTTAAGAACAAATTCCAATATTTACACAAACGATCCAAACTAATGGTCCGCTTGCACCTGCTGAGTATTTCTGGAGCTTTCAGCCACATAACTCACATAATGAGCCCATGTGAGCTGCTGGAGATCTAAACAGAGCGCTTGTTTTTTAACTTTATAACGTGCCGGCTTTAGAGAGTGTTATATGATGCTCTTCTGTCAGGTGCACCCTGCAGCTCGCCATTACCTGTAAGGTATCCTTTGGCGTTGGTGCTTTTAAGAGATGCTTGAAGTCTACAGGAGGTGGTTGGAAAATGGGAAGGACCACGTTATCCCAGATTAAGAGCCAGGGGATCCTGGTTTTCCTCCTGTTAGTACCGGCTTTGTTTGGCACTTTATTTTTTCCCTCACACTTTGCTCTCACTTCCTCTCACTGGTTAGGTTTCCATATAAAAACTACTTGGTTAAAGAGAGGGAAAGATCGTGGTGTGAACCAAAAACACCCTTAAGAAGAATAATCTGCTGACTGGCTTGTGCCGTAACCCAGCGCGTCTGTGTGGTGCTAATATTTGGTGTGCAGGTGTTCAGTTTGAAAGGTTATTTCAGGTGCAAGCCTCGTTCGGAGGCATCCACGGGTCTTTAGTGGATTTAGGTTGTCTGTTGATCTAATCCTAGACCGGCTCCATGAAGTCCGGGTCACAGCTCTCTGTGTGAGGTGGGATTTGTTCTTTTTTTTTTTTTGGAGGAAGATTGCTCTAGGCTGGATGTTTGGGAACGCTGCGGTGCGTGTGTTAGCTGTCCAAACTTTTGGAAATGCTTTACAGGCTTAAAAGCTGCACACGCACCAGTCCACACAGCTGAAATGTGCGTCTGATGAAGCAGGAGAGGAAAGCCAAATCAGGAGGTGCTGAATCCAGAGAGCGTGCTTCTCAACAAGGTCAGGGAAGAGAAAAGGTTACGAAACACATCCTGAACACATGCAACCAACGTATTCATGATAGATGTGATTGTGGTGATAAGAAAAGCGTGAAAGTGTCGGACCACATCATGAGTGGACAGTGGCTTCTCTCTCAGAACAGAAAGTGAAGGCTCTCAGCTGCAGGTGTGCCACAAGAAGTCATTTACAATTCAAAAAACTAAAGAAAATTCCACCATGTTAATTCAGGTGAAAAACTGCACCTAAATATTTACATAAGGGGGGGGGGAAGCAAAAGCAAAACCAGAGAATTTAATGGTGACATCTTTATCGTCTCTTTTTGATGGCGAGCTCATCTTGTGTCGCGTCTTTAGCGGGAAAGAACCAAAACTGAGCTCAGACGCCACAAAGTAAAGCTGATACTGAAGAATCAGACTCAGCAGGCAAATCATCAGGAACTAAGGCTTGTTGATGATTCGAGGTGTGGGTCACAATCTGGGTTTTACACATCAACACAGTTTTAAGTAACTCTCAGAGCAAAAAGGAACTGTAGGGTCTGTCATCATTTCAGTGGGGCAACACAGGGCGTGAGATCCCACGTGTAAGAGGAAAGGTCGAGACTAAACACAAGCGATCCCCCCAAAAAGCTCAGAGAGCCGAGGAGAGAGTTCCCTTCGCTCTGCAGGTCGATAGTCTTGTTTCTTTGGTTTAGTTGGTCAGATTCAACAGATTTCTATTTGTGCACGATAACTTCAGTAAATTTAACAAAGCCTTTCAAAATGTAACCTTCACCCTGTAAAAGATTTTCAAAATTTCAGGCCCTCTGGGTAAATTTCTTTCCAGCGTAACGACACAAGAAACGCTCCGCAATCAGGTCAATTTCACACACCTCCAAAGTGCCACAATCTGACACTAAAATCTAGTTTTTATTCAGCGTTATTTTTGTTCTAAGTCAGTGATGATGCAGAAACAGAAACCAGCTACTCTGCATACGCGATCTGATTTCTGATAATTCACTGGAGAAAACTTCAGAA